AAAACTGATGCCTGGAATTTTGTGGCATTCAATTGAACCTGGTTACTTTCACCCCAATTCGAAATCATTTCTAGATCCTCATAAAGATTTGCAACCTCCTGTTGCCGGTGAAGATGTGCCTCCGTGGCCGATGTCAGCAAAGCAATATATTGGATTCTTGGTTTTTTCCAATAAGGTGTTGATGTACAATAGAAAGAGGTTGGTGACAATATGAATCTCCAGGGAACCCCAGCGTTGATGGTGGAAGTATTCAAGAGATATCCATCGACGGCCACTTGCAGGAAACATTATTTCAGTAAGCTGAAGAGCCATACATAAAAATGATCCGACAAGCCATAGCATCAAAGTTTGACCAGCAAACCCTCATGTCATACACGGTCAAAGACATCAGACATATCAAGCGCAACAGCTCTTGATTCTCTATGTGTCGCGATTGCGTTATTTCAAATATGGTTGACATATGATAGAAAGTCACCTGTTGATCTTTGTTTCCTAAAGTCATATTGATGGTCGCTCAAAATGTTTAAGCCCTCCAAATATTTGAGAATATGAAAGTTTACAACTCTCTCCATCATTTTTTATATCAACAACAGCAAAGTGTTTGGTCTATAGTTATTTGGAAGATTTTTCTTGCCGTTTTTGGGAATAGGCTAAACGTGAGCAATCTTCCAACGAAAAGGAAAAACCCCTTTCTTATAAGATTGGCTGGAAAGTCTGCAAAATACTGGTGCGAGTTCATTTGCGCACTTTTTAAATACGACGACGGGCACTTCATTGGGGCCAGACGCCTTGTTAATATTGATCTGTTTCAAAATTCGCCTGAGTAGACCCTGTCGAAAAGTAATTTCCGGAATTGTGGATTCTAGTGTGGAAATAGTGGGTGGTGCTTTTCCCAGAAAATCGACTGTGGAGTGGGACGCAAATTGTTCAGCTAGTAGATTTGCTTTTTCTTCAGCTGTTGTTGCAACAAACCATCCGCTTATGTCTTGACTCGAAATTTTGAGTCAGTATGTCAGGCTTCCAACTTTACTTATATGTAAAGAAATAACACTATTTTCATCATACGTTGAGTTGAAGAAATTCTTAAGTGAGCTGCACTTTTGTTCTTCAGTGTTCTTATCGAAAATATTAATCAGTTTTTCGACCATCTCATTACATGTTTTACTGTTGATTATGTGCATGCGAGTCTTTTTGTAATATTCTCCAGTAATATTCATTGATTTCTGTGCTCTCGACGATTCCAGCATCTCGACGATTCCATTTTACTTTTTCACTTTCATCATGAGATGGCAAAAACTTCTGTTTCACTGAAAATGTCCCATAAAGCATAAGTTTTGGATATAATTGTTATTTGAAACTGGTACGATTCATTGTTTGTTAGTTTTTCGACCGCGTCGTCCTGAGCTACAGTCGCCATTTTGTTTTCAGTGGTCACTGCTTTTAATTTTTATGATTGCGTCCTTTTTACACTTTCTGCTTTCAACTGAAAGTGCCTGGGCCCATAACCTGTTTGGTTTTTACTTTCAAATAGACATAACTCCAAAATGTAATTGGTTTTATTAAAAATTAAACAAAATTATACAAGCAAGCAGCATTGACTGTCAGTCATACAATTCAACTTCATACTACTTTATTCATTTTGCCACAGCACTCAAAAATCAAAATATATTTCTCTGCTTCTTCTCATTCATCGACATATGACAGAACACAAATTAACTTAAAACAATTTGCATGTTATGATAACAGAAGACAGCAAGTCTATTAGATTCAACAATTACAATAGAACATGAGAATAGTTCAACATTTTATACTAATATAAATCAATCTGTTACAAAGACTGTATTATCAACTTTACCTAAATGTTTTGTTGTACATATTTTTGATGGTTTTTCCACCATTTGCACACAACCTCATGGACAATGTAAAGAGTTTTTATCACTATGTGAATACACATCAACAGCTGGTTAACGGAAAAACAAATTTTGAACAGATTTTTCAAAAAGATATATTTTTAGTGTTGTAATTTCCCTGTAACAGAATGGAAAAGAAATTTTTCAACATCTCAGGAGAATTCTTATGAGGGTCAAATTTCGATCAACCTGTATATGGATAAAAAGGCATCTCTGAAATCGGAAATCACGTGACTAAGCGAAGGAAATGTCAAATTCAAAATTTGGACATGAAATTATTTATTTCATGTATAAATCTAACAGATAAAATTGGTAAACTTCTATCAATCAGAAATAAGATTAATGTATCTATTGTGGAAAATTGAAAGAGATAGAATAAAACTATTAAAATTAGTTAGAAATGAGGAAATGTTTGAAAATGAGAGTTGTCAAAATTTTCCTTAGGTATGAATATTAGATGATGCTTAGAGAAAATTGAGATATTTAGAAATAAGTAGGAATATACGAAATTTCAAATAGATAAAAGAGAAATGTAGCTAAATTTAGATATTGAAATCAAGTTTTTAAGTAGATTTTAATTAGAGATATGTAATTTCAAACTCTGAAATTGTGAAAATTATTGGTTGGTATCCAAGCAGAGTGGAATATTGGACATTATTTCGTCAAAAACTGAATTGTTTTCTGAGCTTTGAGAGAGAAGTCACGCATTTTGATGCTACAAAATTTCAGGAAAATTACAGAAAAACAGTTAGAAAACAAATATAAAACAAATTGTTGCTTAAAATTTAACATAATCCAATACAACCTACTGTAATAGCCAATCCAAAAAGTGAAAAAAAAAAAACAAGAAAACTGCCTACCATACATTCCCGTTTTCCAAAGTCCAATTCTAGATGTTCCATCAAATAGTTTTGATGGTAAACATCACTGCACGAATAAAAGGAGAGAATTCATCCATGAACGATTAGAATATGTATGTATGTGTATTTTTTTTCTGTTAACCAGTTGGGCAGTTATTGATTGACACTTGTCATACATCTACAAGATCACGTTTTTCGTGACTAACCTATAAAACTAATATTCTTAAATGAACCATTCGGTATAATCAATATTTCAATTAACATTCAAATGTTTCTACACTGTTTGTGTATATACAGGGTGTCCCTGGACTTCCTCTTTTCCTCTCGGGAATGTATAGATGGGGTCAAAATATCACCAGTACTTCATATAACTTTTTTTCCTAAAATCCTTCGTTACCAAGTAACGGGCCCTCGAAGTTACAAAATGAAAAATGTTTTTCTTTGATAACTTTTCAAGTGAATATTCAAAATCATCCAAATTTTGGNCCTCATCCCCTTTTTTTGTATTAAGATGGAGTAGTAGAAAGCCAAAAACTTTCTTTCCCAAATTATTTTTGAAGGTTATGTTGAAATTCCATGCCAAACTTCAGTTGAACTATCAGCTGTTCCAATCAGAAATTTCAAATTAATCAGAAACCAATATTTACCAGACATGTGCGTTGTCAACGATTTACAAACAGTTGGAAATCTGTTTGTGACTCAAGGTTGGAACGAACCTATTATTTACTCTACTTATTATTCAACTATAATGTTCATGAATGTTAAGCTGTCTCTATCGTACGGCAAATTCAATCTGTCGTTCCACAAAACAGATCTGTGTTTCCATTTATAAGATTTGGTCGCAGACTATAAATCAATTTTTTTATATTCATTCAATAAACATTGATGCTGTTGAATACATTTCATTAGCAGGAATTTTGACCAATGAATGAAACACGTTGTCCGTTATTTAATGATCATTTAGCTGCGTGTGTATGATTCAAATAGAAGATGATAACATATATATAATATCACATCCTGACAACAGTGTTTTCGTAAAAATGAACAATGAACAATAATATTATAATGTATATATAGTTCATAGATTTTATATTAACGACTGAAGGTAGTATATGGAGGTAGGAACTAACGGGACTTTCAGTCAAACACGTTCAAAAAACAAACCTACTCTATTTCACAAATCGCCAAACTTTCGTCTCTGAATAGAGACTTCGTCAGGATGAAGTAATCTGAGTTTCACAATTTAAAATCGAATATTGACGACAACATTTCAAAAAATTGACGCAATAGTATTAACATATAGAACATCCTACATATTATTTCATATTTCAATTCTACTCGAAATTCTGAACAGAATTGATATAGAACATAATTTCCTAAGTTTCCTTTTGAAAGTTTCCAGCTTCATAACAACGCCGCGTTGTTCTTTCGTCTAACAGTGATGATCTTGACAACTCATGTATAAGTGTAAATAATTTTCGCGCCAAAATGGCATGTGCAACCGATACTGAGCGTATTAAAATTTTAATGATCATAGAATACGGTGATAGAAGACGGGGTTGTGACCAAGTAGTGGATATTTTCAATGAATTGCATCCCAATATATTGATATTACTGAAAATGAGTGTTTTCGCCAACCAGTTATGAGTTTTCCACTGAGAATAGGAGACTCCCAACTTGAATACTGATCTGATGCCAGTACCTATTTTGGAATTAAAATTTCGAATTGTGAGATTACTTTCATTTGACTGAATATTGACATGGTCATTATTTTTTTTTAATATAATCATTACTAACGATCGATGAAGCTACTGAAATTGAGAAATAGTTGTGAAAATTGTTTGATTATTAACATATAAAGTACTGTTTTTGAATGTTTCCAATAGAAACACTTCTTTCACACACAAGAAGTGTAATATGGTTCCAGATCTGTGTCGAAAAACGCGTTTCTAAATGTTCATTATAGGTTTTCCTTGAATATTGAACTATCAAGATTGGTACATTTTCATACGGCATACTCTGTATTTACAAATGCCCTTCGAATGACAAGTACTTTTTTGCGAAAAGTTAAAGTTCAGTTTTCTGAAACCTACGTCACAAAAAATGGTTCACGAACAATGATTTATCGCATATTGTTGCAAGTTTTTATGATTTTAAAAAAGAAAGGTCAAACACCCTGTTATTTTGAAAACAGTGGATATCTTCTTGATCAGAGAAGTGAATTGTATTTACCTAACATACATGAATGACAATACAGTGTTATCATTGCCACGTTAAATATAATTCCTTGGTCAATATTGAAGATACCATTGGGGTAAATAAAAATTCCATAAAAGATAATTCTATCAATATAACGATTATAATTTTGTTCATATTACCGAAGTTGAACTCGAAAGAGATATTTCTGAACGTAATAATGACACGAGCAGAAGATCAAGACGAAGTCGTTTATAAACCAACCACTGAGTCAGAACTCTTTCAAAAGTTAAAACCTCAAAATGAAAAAAAGAAGGATACTTGTTTATTTTTATACTTCACATCAATCGTTGGTGAGTTTTCTTGATTTTATCAGAGTTTGAAACTTATAATCATTGCACAAGGTCGAAGGTGAAAGAGAATTTGAATGTATTTCATATTGATTCGTTAGTGAGAATGTCATTATTTGTTTGCCAAATATATAAAATGAACGTTTAGGATTGAACATATTTGCCGTTCTATATTTTTAATACGGTTTTCATTGAAATGAACTTTTAGAATTGAACATATTTACCGTTTATTTGGAATTTACATCATTTAGAACTATTTGTATATTCCAGAAAAGATTTGACACTGAAACTAGCGCCATTTGTTTCCAGTGGTGGTAATTCGAATCACACCCAGCATATTTATTCTTCACCAAAAAACCCAAATAAATTGATAAATCAAAGAATCCAATATCATAAATTCATAGCCATAATTCGAACTGTATTGTTTTGAATTTTGGTTTCAGGTATCATAAATACATATACAAAA